TTTCATCCTACAGATGGTGTGGTCCAGGAACAAACACACATTTCCAACTACATGAGCAGCGTTTCCCCGCCCCCCCACTCCTGCCATGGTAATATGTAAGTACCTTACCAGAAGAAGGCTTCTCTGGATCTGAAACAGACTGCAAGCGCTGTCTGTACCTTCCCCACTGTCTCCCTGTTCAACCAGCCTGAAGCTGGCAGTGGCCAGAGAGAGATCCTGTTAAGTCCTTCTAAACCTGACACTGGTGTTGGTTAACCACACTGTGAGCAAATTTAAGTTCATGCGGTGGTTTCCCCAAGTATATATATATTTTTGGCTTATTCCAGCAGAAGTGAGGGGTGGGGGATGTTCTTTCCCCTTGGAGCGTTGACAGAAGGGAAGAGATGACAGAGGCAGCGCCTTGGACACGGGCACCTGGATTTGGGGACATAGGAAGAGGAGGGGACAGAGAAGAGGCAGAGGCTGGGGCAGGGAGGAGGTGGGCTCTGGGACATGATAGAGGAAGGTTCTGGGAGCGGGACAGATGGAATTTCGGATGGTGTGAGGTGGAGTCTGAGATGCAATACAGGTGGCTTCCAAGCTGCCACAAAATGGTTCTGGGCCACCACAGCAGAAGTGAACTGTTCCATCAGGAACTGGGTGGCGGTGGCTTCTTGGCCACCATGGAGATAAATCCTAGGGCACAGAAGAGGTGAGCCTGGGTGGGGGACAGATGGATGGTGGGCAGGCCATCCTCCGCGCTGCTTCCAGAACGCACCCACACACGGCTCTCTCGGGGCCCCTAACACATCCCATGGCCACTGTGGCTTCTGATTCCAGCATCAAGCCTCCATCCCCTGCCCACGAGGCGCCCTGTGGCCGCCCTCACCCTGTCCCGGCCTCTTTGGCCTCCCACTCTGCCTCTGGTGATGGTCGCGGTGGACCTGCGATCCTTCCTGGTCTTCTCTGGCATCTCTGGTCTAGGGCCGTACCCACAGCACAGGGCCAGGCACAGAGCCTGCCGGACCGCGGCTGGCCTCGAAACGCATGAGGGTGACGGTACCGTTGGGGCGATTCATGTGTCCTCAGAAAGGGAGAAGGGGAGCCAGGGAGAGAGGCAGGCAGAACGCAAAGGAGGCAACAACGCAAGAGGCAGAGATGGAGACCCGAGGCAGCCGGAGCAGCTGCACACCCTGACCTCATGAATGACTGCCTCCGGTGCGCACCCTCCCACTGCGCGACCGCTGCGTCTGGGGACACGAGACCAGGATCCTCCTGAGGAAGCCTCTTGGGGTACCAGGAGCGCGCGAACGGCCCGCGAACACCTCCCGCAGGGTGGCGCGCGCAGGTGCAGCGCGTCCGGGGTCCCTCCCTGCCAGGCTCGGGTGCGCGCGGCATTGTGGGAGTTGTGGTCCTCGCTGGCCCCGCGGAGCGCAGCGCGGCGTCGGCCACGGGTGCTGGGGGGACACCGGCTGGGCTGGGCTCGGCTCGGTCTCCAGCGACGAGGGCCGGGCAGCGGCCGGGCGGTGGCTCCGCGGCGCGGTCAGGGGGCGTCCGCGTGTCCGCGCGCTCAGTGGTAGCTGCCACCCCCGCTGCCTGCGCGCCGGGGTGCAGGTAAGCCAGCTGGGTCTCCATGGGGCTGCCCCGGCGGGAGGGTGGCGTGGCCGGGCCGACCCCGCGAAGGGAATGGGGTGATTGGGTGGGTGGGAGGTGGGGAGGGCGGCTGCAGGCCCACCGTCCTCCTCCTCCCCGCTGGGAGCCGCCGCCGCCAAGCACCGAGGATGCTCCGGGACGGCGTCGCCCGCCTGCGCCCCGCATCCCGGCCGGGCCGAGGGGGCCGCGCCGGCGGGCGCTCACTGCGTGCGGAGCGCCGGCGCCGACTCGCCTCTGTTGGCGGCTCCGGGACTGGGCATCACACACCCTTCCACCCTCCCTAGCCCCGCCGCGGCCCCCTCCCCCGTCACTTTGTCCTTCCCTTTTTCCTCAGCAAGCCCCCCCACTTTTCCAGTGTCCCGTGCTGACCCTCCTCCTCTGTTCCGGGACTTAACCATGCGGGTGTAAACCTCTGTCAGTCACCTTTAGCGGATCACCTACTTTTCCTAGCCACGCGCACCTGACCACAGCCCCCTCCCTCACCCCGGTGACCTCCTGGTGGGCCACCATCTGTGTTTAGCCACCTTCTGTCCTCCTCTTATTATTGTCGAGGGCTGGTGGGTTTTGCAAAAAAACCGATGCAGAATAAAGGTCTCCCGTGGTGGGGAGGGGTTGGCCCCTGAGTGAAGAGAATGGTTTAACACACCCCTTGTCCGCTGATGGCCTAACTCCTGTGGATATCCAGCCTCTTGCAGCGGTCAGGTGGTCTGAGCTGGGTGGACCAAGACGCCTCCTCTTCCCTCTCCGGGTGTGCGTTTGTGGTTGAAGTTACCTCTAGTTGCGTTTGAACCTAGCTGGCTGCTGGTCGCCGCCGGCACCAGCTGACCTTTAAGATCCTGGCTGGCATGTTATTCATGAGGCATCTTCATCCCCCGTGATAACAGAAACGACACCGATGAGAAGGAACAGAGGTGTGAATGAGGCTTCCATCAGTCAGTCACGGTGGACCCTGAACTGCCAGCCCATCCCTCTCCCTGTGGATCTGAGAGTTTCCTTTGTTGTCACCTGTGGCCGGGGAGGCTGGCGAGCTCACCTGAGGAACGTCTGTGTTAGCTAGCAGGGACCGTCCGCACTGGGACGGGGTCACCCCTTGAGAAGGAGTGGGCTGGCATTGAGAGAGGACAGTGCAGCCTTGGGGAGAGCCCCTAGTGGGACTTGCCAGCCTGGGTCAGCATTCCCCTACCTTCTGACTTGAACAGAGAGGACAGAAGCTACAGGTAACAGGTGCTTGTTAGATGTTGAGCAGCATCTCTCTGTCTCCCTGAGAGATGGGAGTGGAAGAACTGCAGGTGGGGCTCAGCTCAGCAGATGGGAGAGTGGTGCAGTTCCTTCCAGTCCCAGTGCTTGTTGTCACACAGCTCCCCAAGGAACTGCAGCACCCTGGGGTTCCCCATCCTCCAGGAGAGAGCTGGTGCCAATGACTTGCAAATGAAATCCCTCGCATCCACTTTCTTCCCTTTTCCCAAAGAGGGGAGCAGTTCTAGACATTAACTAGGAAGGGGTCTCTTGTCCTCCGGCAGGTTCCGCTTTTCCCAGATGCTGGGAAGAACCCTTGAGAGAAAAGTGTAGCTTCGAACCTCCCCGCTCTTGTGTTTTTTCCTAGAAACAAGAAAAAAAAATCCCCATGAATATTCAGCGTGTGCGTCTCTGACTTGCTGCTAAACAGTGGAGTCAAGTGATTCTCTTTATTCAGCCGAAGCTGGGAAGAAGCCAGTAGGCAGTTAATGAGCACCTAAGGCTTCCGTTTCAGTTTGAGCCTAGCATATCTGGGGACAGAAAGAGTCACTTTGGGTATGTGGCAGTGTGAGCGTCCCTGGAGTTCGCCACAAGCTGTTGGAATTCTGAGTTTGGAGATGGCTTTTTCACGTGTCGCCTTGGGGTTTGCGAGCTGTGTGACGTCATCATAACCAAATGAGTATATCATCATAGCATCCATCATTATGCATCATCAGCCAGTAGGATGAATTTGAAAATCCCACTGTACGGATGAGGAAACCGATACTTTGGGTGGGGAACTGGCGTGGATACTCGGGCCAGCCCAGGTCCAGTTGGAGCGCTCGCTCAGCTGTACTGCAGGAAATATTCAAGCCAAATTTGGTCCTCAGACGCAGGGAGTAAGGTGGTGAAGTCGGCCACCTCCTTCCACCTAGTTCCTCATTTGCTCTTCTGCGTTCCTGAGCTGGGGGTGGAGCAGACCCTGAATTTTTGGAATGGTGCTGCTGGCCTGGACAGGAGTGCGTTAGACTGTGGGAGGACCAAGCCTACTGGTTTGCTCCGGATCAGAAACGGTGGAATGGGCAAGGCTTCTTCCTGGGGCAGCCAGGATCTGGAGCCTCAGGCAGTGTGACGGTAAGGCCATTGGTGCTCTGACTGTGAGGCCCAGGGCATAATCAGGGTGCCCAATGCCAGCCCTAGTCCTCAGCAGCACAAGTACCTGAGCGAATCTGGGCTTCTCTTCCCCCATCCTGCCCACCTGTTACGCTCTCCTAACCTGACAGGTGAGGCCAGGGGGACAGAGAAGGTCCCCCGTGTGCTGCAGTGGTGACCCTGTGGCACCTGCTTCCTATCCCAATGTGGTGTGGACCCAGTCGGGCAGTGGGGATTGGACGAGGGTGAGGCCATGCTAGAGAAGAGGATACCAAGGAGAGAACATTCTGCCTGGTGCACTGTGTAGAGATTAAGGGATGCTAAGCACATGTTGACTGCCTGCCGTAAGTCAAGTGGTATATAGCACAACAGACAGATGCGAGCTTGGAAGTCTGGGCGAGTCTGTCCTGCGTGAGCTTCGGTTTCCTCCTCTGTGAATTGGGGGTGAGGGCACCCTCCTGTGAATGACGCAGGTGGGGGATGGGGCGAATTACACATAGTGCTTGGTGTCCTTGCTGTAGGCCTCCTGGGAAGTGGAGGGTTGAGAGGGGGAGTCATACCCGAGATTGGCCTCGAGTTCCTTCCTACAGCGACCTTAGGTGCCGTGCTGGGATGTTACATTTCAAAGGACTGCTACAGGTGTCCAATGTATGCTGCTTTTCTCTCTCTGTCTCCCATCCTAGGCTTGGAGCCCCTATGACAGCCAGCCTTTGGCAGTAACCAACCTTCCATAGCTAATGTGACATAACCCACTTCTTCCCCCTCCCTGCCAGTGACTTTGGCTGGGAGTGGAGTGGTGGGCCAAGCCGGCTGGCCTCACCCATCAAGGATGTTGTCCCCGGCAAGCTCCAAGGGGCTGTGGCAGCCATGCCGTGCCCTGCACCCTTGTGGGAGATCCACCTTCCCGCCTGCACTGACCTACATGGAACCCCTGGAAGACTGATAGACTGAGCCGGCTTTGCATCCCTCCAGTGGTAACAACACCACCCTCCCTTTCCCCAAAGATGTCGCTTGAGTGGCTGGTGTCCTGGAACTGGTCGCTGGATGGCCTGAGGGATTGCATCGCCACAGGCATCCAATCGGTGCGGGACTGTGATACCACGGCGGCAGTCACCGTGGCCTGCCTGCTGGTGCTGTTCGTGTGGTACTGCTACCACGTGGGCAGGGAGCAGCCACGGCCCTATGCGTCGGTCAACTCCCTCATGCAGAGCGCCGAGGTCAATGGGCTACAGAATGGCTTTGTGTCCTGCCAGTCTCCGGAGTGCGTACGCTGCACCCACCACGAGGGGCTCAACCAGAAACTCTACCATAACCTGCAGGAGTACGCAAAACGGTACTCATGGTCGGGCATGGGCCGTATCCACAAGGGCATCCGCGAGCAGGGCCGCTACCTCAACAGCCGACCCTCCATCCAGAAGCCCGAGATCTTCTTCCTACCCGACCTCCCTACCACGCCCTACTTCTCCCGGGATGCTCAGAAGCATGACGTGGAGCTGTTGGAACGCAACTTCCAGACCATCCTGTGCGAGTTTGAGACCCTCTACAAGGCCTTTTCGAACTGCAGCCTCCCCCAGGGCTGGAAAATGAACAGCACCCCAAGCGGGGAGTGGTTCACCTTTTACCTGGTCAACCAGGGGGTGTGCGTGCCCCGGAACTGCAGAAAGTGCCCACGGACGTTCCGCTTGCTTGGCAGCCTTCGGACCTGTATTGGAAACAATGTTTTTGGGAATGCGTGCATCTCCGTGCTGAGCCCCGGGACGGTGATCACGGAGCACTACGGGCCCACCAACATCCGCATCCGATGCCACCTAGGTAGGTTGTGGGATGGGGTGGGGTGGGGTAGGGGCACGCGACGAAATACACAGAAGTTCCAGCAGCTGGCTGGCACATTCTCTTTTGCTTCACTGCCCCTTGACCAGAAGCCGAGGCACTGGGTGCCAGCAGTTGGGTCTGGCAGAGATGGAGTCCAGAAGAATTTTGTGCAGTGGTGCCTGCGTACGTCCATCCTCACTGTCCAGCATGCCCTGGGCCACAGCAGGGGACCCTTGAGTGCTGGGACCATAGCAGGTGCAACTTAGGAATTAGGGTTTTGTTTTCTGTTAATGTCAAGAGCCACATTGGGGCTGGTGGCTACCAGATAGTGTCATGCTGGGGCTGGGGGCCATTGCTGGTGGCTGAGGCCCACAGGGGTGTCCAGCAGGCTAGGGGCAGATGCTGAAGGAGGCAGGGAGCCTGAGGCGTGTTGGATTCAGGTCCTAGGACTCTCATTGAGGTGTGCATTCTGTGTGTGTGTGTGTGTGTGTCCCTGATTCATGTCATGGCCCTGGCATGAGCTGTAGCATGGTCACTCTGAAAAAGTCACTTTACCTGTCTGAGACCCTGTTCCCTCACTGAGCATGTGGAGGGGAAGAGCTGTCTCAGGAGCTAATCAGAGAGTGCGCCGGCTGGCGAGCAGGTGCTTAACAAAGGGAAACGTCTAACAGCTTGGTTACTAAGGGTGGTTTCGCCAGCATGCCTCGTGTAGGTGGCTTAGGAGAGGGCGGGGAACGGGACAGTGGCATCACAGGCAAGCATCTCTGGCTAGAGGGCTGAGTTGGACAGTAGGCTGCGTCCAGTTTTAGGGGCTTGGCAGTGCCTACTGCCCCAGCTTCCGCGTGGAAGGAGAACCAGGAAGTGGGGTCCCTGGGGAAGGCGTTGTGGGGATGCTTCCATCGTGGGATTGACTCCCAACTCTGTTTTCAAGCCAGCTCCCTGCTAACGGGCCTGGCAGGCAGTGGGTAATAGCCCAAGTACTTGTGTTCCTGCCACCCTTGTGCGAGATCCAGATGGAATTGCTGCTCCTGGCTTCAGCCTGGCCCAACCCTGACTGTTGCGGGCATTGGGGGAGTGAGCCAGTGGATGGAGGAACCTCTCTCTCCCTCTCTGTCACAGCCACTTCTAATTTTAAAAAAATAGGAAGGAGAACAAGCACACTTCCACACCTGGTCGGGCCAGGGGCTTCGTAATCACGTCCCACGCCAGTCGGGCCAGGGGCTTCGTAATCACGTCCCACGCCAGTTGGGCCAGGGGCTTCCTAATCACGTCCCATGCCAGTCGGGCCAGGGGCTTCGTAATCACGTCCCATGCCGGTCGGGCCAGGGGCTTCGTAATCACGTCCCACGCCAGTCGGGCCAGGAGCTTCGTAATCACGTCCCACACCAGTCGGGCCAGGGGCTTCCTAATCACATCCCATGCCAGTCGGGCCAGGGGCTTCGTAATCACATCCCACGCTGGAGGCTGAGCTTGTTCCAGTCCCTGCACCTGCAGCAAGTTCACTTCTGCTCTCTGGCTGGGGATTCTGAGGGAGACGTGGTTTGCACAGACCTGATTACTTAAAAAGGAAGAAATAATTAGAGCCGTTGGCTTAGTTGGGATCTCAAGAGGATGGGGAAAGCTTCTTCAGAGGAGGTAGCCTGGATTTTGGGTCGGCTGTATGACTCTGGGTCTCTGCTGCCTGTCTGTAAGACGGGAGAGAGTGCTTGCTTCGTGGGGCTGCTGGGAGGATGAGGCAGGTGACACCTTACCTGGCTCAGGTCAGTGTTCTGTAGGCGCTACCTGATACCAGTTATGACCTAGCACTGGTTGTGAGTCAATGTGAAAAAGGACCCTTCTCTGAAAAGCAACACATCTGGACTCAGGTCCTGGTTTAGTCCCATTGATGGTGTGTCCCTGGGCAGAGCCCCGAAACATGGAAGTTCCTGTTATCTCGAAGGTGGAAGTGCCTCTGTGAAGGCTGCTCAGAGCAGCACGAGGTGTGTCTCCTAAGTGACAGGTGCCCGCTAGTTAGGTCATCCAGGTAACAGCTGTAATTGATGGAGCCGCCAGGCGATGGGCCAAGGTCAGGGGAAGCTGGGCTGCAGCTAAGGTGTTCTGGGAGATGGGGCTGACCCCAGAGGATCAAGGGAGTTCTCGGGGTGGACCAGAGGAGAAAGCTAAGCTTGGATGGAAGGAACAAACCATGAGGGGGGGGGCCTGTTGCCAGGCCATGGGTGGTAAGAGGGAAGGCGAGTGTTTGCAGAGGGTTTCCTGGGCACGTTTTGTAAGGCCTGGGGATGAATGTGGGAGAAGGTGCGGGCACACATGGGGACTAACAAGTGCTGGGAACAAGAGGACCCAGGGCTTGCTGTGTGCTACTGTCTGTTGTGCATCTGTGCAGTGTGTGTGTGTGTATGATGCATGCCCACGTGGCTTTTCTCCAGAGCCAGCCATTCCCTTCTCAGCCAAGCTAGTTCCATGCTGGAAAAGTGGATGCTCCATGTTTCCTCAGATGGCAGGAAGCCTCATTCTTTATCGATGGGGGGAGGCCCCCCATGGAAGCGTGGCCGGTCCTCTGGCCAAGGTGAATCCACGGTCGGGTTTTCTTGATGCTTCCTTCTTTACCCTGCTGTGCCCAGGTTTGTGACCACCTCAGGAAGGAAGGAGAGGTGTGTGTTGGGCACCTGGGACCCTTTGGGTTTCTGAGAGTTTGAGAAGGAGGACAGAAGCAGCAGAGAGGCCTCCCGGCTCTGGCCCTCGCTGGAGATGGAAGAGGCCCCGGCAGGTGCAGAGCTGTGCTTCTGGGACACCAGTCTTTCCCTTCTTGCTCTGCCTTCTGTTGCGAGGTGGGAATGGCCAAGAGTTGTCCCTCTGGCCACAGGAACCTCAGCCATGTGCTCCACTAACTGCCCATTCTCCCGTATGGGTGTCTGCTGAGCGCGTGGCAGGCGGCCACAGCCTGCTGAGAGTGCCACCCACGCATCCCCCCGCATCATGTTCAGGGCTGGCAGGCTCCAGTGGCAGCACCACCAGCTCCATTCACTGACCTCCACCCCACCCCCAAGCCCATCTGAGATTGACTGGGAGCTGACAGGAGGGCAGGAAAGAGCTTGTGCATGAGTGATAGTCTCCAGTGTGGTAGGCACAGTCAGTAGTCTCACACCTCTGTTCTTGGGGATGCCAGGCCTTCGCTCCCACTTGCCTGTGCACCCCAGATGTTGGTCATCGACTGCTGAAGTGAGACTGTTTTTGGGCACAGAGCCCTTTACTACCCTTCTCCCCACCGCCTTCACTCTCCAGCTGACACGGATAGAGCAGCAAGTCTGGAGCCTGGGCGGGGGCTGTCTGAGCAGAGCCACCCACCTGCTCGCTCTGCACAAGCATTGCTCATTGGTCCAGCCATGTTGGGGCAGGGCCTGGGGCAGAAATGGTGTGCAGCAGGGGGCTGGGGCAGAAGGCAGAGGAGGGTGGAGGACAAGAAAGTGTGATTGTTAACCTGGCAGCCAGGCTGTTTTTGCTGTTGTCTTGTGGGCAGAGAGGGCGGGTCCTCTCTCAGCCATGTCGCACCCCAGCTGGGGTTGAGAGGAGCAGGAGGCCGTGGTCCAGGGTGAGGTGAATGGTCTGGCTGCGTGATGCCATGCAGGTCACTCATGATCATTTCTGTGGCGCTGCTCCAGCTGTCACTCCTGTCTCTAGCCCCTCCAGCGAGCATTGAGTAATGACTTTGCAGTAGATTACAGAACTTCTTATCACCCCACCTGCAGCGGGGTGGGCGCAGGGAGCGATGTCGTGAAATATTTATTGAGCAACTGTGGGCATCAGCTGCTGGCTCCATGGACTTAGAGCACACAGCAACCCTGGGCAGGAAGTTTGCTGGGTGAGTTTGCCCATTGTTATATGGCATGTCAAGGTGAGAGCCCCTTTTCTGCCCAAGGAGTCTCTTTGACTTCTCTTCTTCCCATACTTCCTGGAGCTGTCCACTGCTGGTTCACAGTGCCTGCTGAAGTCCTCTGGCTGTGAGACAGGCAGCTGCTTCTTCTAATTTGGAATGGCATTAGCCCAGGGTCACGGTCATCACAGTGAGTCCCTTCTTCGGGCCTTTGCGTCTTCCTGATCTTCCTTTCCGTGAGCAGCCAGCCGAGGTTGTGCTGAGGTGTTGATAGAGGCCAAGGGCTTCAAAGGGGCTGAGATGGGAAGTGGATGGAGGGGGAGGTATCCCCACAGCCACAGGGGACCCCAGCATGGGCCTCACTTACCTCTGAAGGCACTGGTCTGTGCTGTAATCAGGGCTGTCCTGGTTCCGGAGCCAGGCCAGAAGGTCATGAGTCCAAGCAAGTGCTGTGTGGGTTCAGAACCAAGGATTGCAGGAGGAGGTTGTGGACCGGGTGTCTGTCACAACGCCCCCAGCACCTACAGGCATCATTGAGGCCCACGTGGCTTCCAGGCAAAGCACAGCTCCAAGCTCAGCCTTCTGCACATCCAGGAACCCCCATGGTCAGAGCTCAAGAGGCTCAGAGGTAGATGTAGGGGCAAGCTGGGACCCTGCTTTTCATCCCAGGAGTTTCTGGTCCAGAGCAGATAAAGTGAGGGAAGGCCCAAGTGCTTGTAGCAGTGTGGTGCAGGGTTCCCTGCCTACACTCTCCTTAGCAAAGCCCACAGTGGCTGTCTTAGTCCCTGCCGGCTGCTGTGACAAAGCAGTACCACAGCCCCTGGGCATCAGAATCAGCTCACCAGGGTGAAGTTGATGTCCAAGGTCATGGAACCGACAGAGGTGGCGTCCGCTGAGGGCTCTTTCATGCCAGGTCCTCCTGCAGTGGCCGTGGATGGCCCTTTTCACAAGGTTCTCCCAAGCCCACTAATGAGGGCAGGTCTCCTAGAGTGCCCTGCCTTCTTAATCCCACCTGCCTTGGGGCTCGGGTGTCCAGCAGGTGAGTTCTGCAGGTTCATGGCTGTCAAGGGGTGAGGCAGGAAGATTGGGGGGCCCCTGCCCACAGCTGCTTCTCCCTCCCTTCAGTCTCTTTCTCTCTCTTCCCCCTGCCCAAGGTTTGAAAACCCCCAGTGGCTGTGAGCTGGTGGTAGGGGGCGAGCCGCAGTGCTGGGCAGAGGGACGCTGCCTACTCTTCGATGATTCCTTCCTGCACACAGCGTTTCACGAAGGTGAGCGTCTACACGTTCCCAGCATGTGGCTGTGGGGTTCACTTGTTCGTATTGGTGAGCTGGCACTTTGCTCCCCAGAGTCCATCTATGGCCTCTGTTCGTCCTTGGCATTGTGCATCCCATGGGCTGTGACCCAGGGGCGGTGCTGTCCGTGATTCCACCATGACGGAGCCACCGTGGTTTCACTGCGCTCCACCCCCGCCTGCCATTATCCACCTGCCCCAAGCCCCATGATGACGCCACCTTCCCAAGCATCACCCACTCAGAGCTTTACCCGCATGGGTGTGGCCCTGGGGTGCTCTGAACCTGGTCTCTCCCCTGCCACACACAGGCTCAGCAGAGGACGGCCCCCGGGTGGTGTTCATGGTGGATCTGTGGCATCCCAACGTGGCGGCGGCCGAGCGGCAGGCCCTTGATTTCATCTTCGCACCAGGACGATGAGGATGTGCTGCCCCCATGCTGGAGTCGGCCAGAGGGGCCGAGGCGAGCGAACCTGGGGCAGCCCGGGGGGCAGCCCAGCACCAACCTGTGGGATGGTTCCCAGCTCAGAAACTGGCCTCCAAGGAGACAGCTCTGAGCGGGACTTCCTGCTGTGCAGGGCTCACTCTTCTCCTTTGGATCTTCTAAGTGGGAACCTGTCAACTCATCCTCCCCCGAGAGTGTTTCTCCCAACCGACCGACCGACTATTGGCTTCCAAGATTCCTTTCCGGCCTCCCAGCACCTCCCTCTGACTCCATATATGGAGCCCCCTGGCACCCCCATGTTCTGTTGCGCCTTGGTTTCTCCTGAGCTCCGACCCAGAGAGCCCTCCTGGTTTTCTCTCTGCCCCCAGTGGAATCACACAGAACTGCTTGCGGTCATCAGTAAAAGGACAACACAAAAACCCAGCAAGCAAGTGGTCCGTGAGCCAGAGAGCTAGCCAGGGGTCTGGGCTTCTGACCATGGCCCACCCGGGACCCCTTTGGCCACCTATCCCTCCACCTCCAGGGCAAGGGAGATCAGCTCCAGGCCCCACTCCCTGGGGGCAAGACACCCCTGCATGGGGAGGGGCATGCACAGCCCTCCCCACCATCATGGCAGACAGCCTGGGCCCAGAAGGAGGGCAGGCTTCTCTTTACACACACATACACACACACACACACACACACACACACACACAGCTTTTTACAAGCTTACGGTTGGGGCTCTCACGGATCAGCCACCCATGTGCGTGTGATCCAGTTACCTCACTGCCTACAGAAGCCCCACGGCCACAGCAGGCCCCGGGGACTTCTCCGTTTGAGCTATTCTGAGCCCACGGTGATGCCCGTTCCATCCACCAGGTTGACTGATAAGAATGAGGGTTGGGGGGATGGATGAGATGTCGCTCATCCAGTGACACGCCAGGACAGGCCTTTGTCGGGCAGAACTGGAACCACGGATTCCACCAAAGTGGCTCTCTGGCTTTGGAGTCCCATAGCCCTGTGGCTTTTCGGGTTTTTTTTTTGTTTTTTTTTGTTTGTTTGTTTGTTTTTTTTGTCCCAACACAAATGTTCCAACACCAGACTCGGAGTAACCGTGAGAATCGAGAGCCAGCCCCTCCTCTAACAGTCCCATAATGCCCCGAGTCTTTGACCTTGTACAGGGGTATGTACTAAGGAACAGTACCCCCGGGCCCGGTGTGTGAATGGGGGACGTGGGGTTTGGTGAGGAAGTGTCCCCGCAGAGCACTCGGGCACGTGTGTTCTCTGTGTGGCTCGGGGAAGCGAGGGCAGATCTCTTCCCAGAGGGACAGGTCCAAGTCCAGACGTGGCGTCCTGCTGGCTGATGCATGCCAGGCTGGCCTCCCGCCACCCCCAAAGTCCTGGAAAGCAGAGTGCAGGGCACAGCTTCTTATGGGCCTGGGTCCACCAGTTGTGCCCAGGCAGATACTGGCACCCTCTTGCAAGGGTGCACCGTTGGAAGGAGACGGGACATGGAGCGGGCTGCAAGGTTGGAGGGTCACCAGCACCTGCCCGCCCGCCTCCCAGCAGACATGTCCGCCTCTCACCTCCGGTCCTTTCCAGAGATGGAGACCACGGGTGGGGGAGATGTGGGGAAGGCAGACATTCCAAACACCCCTCAGAATCTGCCCCCAGCCCAGCCCGCCTCTTGTGGAAGAGTCGCCAAGGTGCATGGCGTCCACACATAGTGACCACTCTGCTCCGCGTTTACAAAACCAACAGCCCCCTCCCCCAGCAGGCCCCTGTCTACCTGTGCTCACGTAACGTGGCTGGGAGACAGAGGCAAATAAATGATCTTGCTGAAAAACGAGTGATGTGGTTGTGTCTGTTACAAAGCATGAGTTTGTGGCTGTTGTTCCATAATTAGGGTGGAGAAAAGGAGATATCTCCACCCCCCCACCCCTGGTTTACTGCCCAAAAGCCTGCTGGATAAGGAATTCCATCTCCCACGTGGCTGACAGGGACCCAGTCACGGGACTGTCGTTTCACTGCCTCCCAGCTAGCACATTAGCAGGAAGCTGGATGGGAATTCGGGGCAGGCGTTGGCCCTGGGGGAGGGATGCCGATGTCCCCACGCTGTCAGCCCTGGCTCTTGGTTTGCTGTGGATTTATGCAGAAGGCTGACACGCCTGGTGTGGACTGAGCAGGAAGCAGAGCATGCTTCCGGATTCCTGGGTTGGGGCTGTGGAACCTTGGGGGGGGGGGGTGTTGCCATGCAACCGAGCCAGGCAGCTTGGAAGGAGCTGAGGTTCAGGGGCTCAGTGGCAGGCACAGAGACACAGCACCTGGCATCCAGAGGGCACCCCAGGGTCGGGTCAGTTTCCCTTGTACCCAAGCAGAGATGATACCCAGGTGGTAAGGGAAGAATGGGAGGGAGAACATGGGTGACTCCCAGTAAGCCAGAGTCCTTTGTGTCTCAGAGGAAGAAGCTTGCCCCTCCAGAGCTCTGCTGTTTGTAAATTGTTTTTCCCCCTGTGATTTAGAAGAGAGAGAGAGGTGGTTACTGGCCAGTCCTCCCTCTGGCTGGCTCCCCTCTGGTCATGGGAAGTGGGGAGGGTGGCGTGCACACAGACCCGCTTGCAGCCTAGCAGTCCCAGCAGGATGAGCGCTAGTCGCCCTGGGCTGTGATATTTCTCAACCTTCCAGTGGGTGCATTGCCAACTAGGCAATTGCTAAAGTCATTTGCATGTTGTAGGGGGAAGGCTGCTACAGGTGAGAAGGGAAATGAGCTACCTCACTCACCGCCACCAACGCTTCCCTCCCCAGCTGCTGGGGATGGAAAGCCCTGCCTTCACCCCAAGCCAGCCTGGATTCATTTCAAGCCCTTTCGTGCCTACCCTGTGAAAGGCAAGATACCAGGGTCCTTAGTCCTGTGTCGCCAGGCACCTGGATGGGCTGTGATACCGGGGACCGCCCTGTGATGTGTACCGCAGGGTAGCGCATGGCTGGGGAAGGAGGAAGATCCGAATGTAGCTGCTGACCTGGGCTGCCGCGTTAGCCACCCCCCCTACCCCCCAGGGAGTTGTTGAGAGTGAGACCGAGGTCAAGTACAAATGCCGTGGCCAGCAACCTTCCTTCCCCAGCTCCCTCCACGGCCAGATCTCGCTAACCAGATGTAAACATGAGGACCGGGACAGAATCAGGCCACATATTTCAGCACTGCTGACAGATGGCAGTGAAATACTCGAGCAGATTGTAGCGTTGGGTGGCAGGAGGCGGCCCGCACAGGGACCGTGAACTTTTCCGCCTACCTTCCCAAGGTTGCACTTGACTTGTGGTTCCCAGGGCTGCCCAGCACTTCCCCCTCTTCCCCAGTGAGAGCGCTGTGCCTTCCCAATCCCGTCCCCTCCCACATGCACCTGCAGTCACGCAGCCTGCGTTGGGGAGGTGGTTGGGAGGGGACACACCCAGCGGACCTCTGCTGGGATTCAACCCACCAGTGAAAAGAAAGGGCAGGGGGGCGGGGTGGGGTGCAAAGAGTTACATATGAACTGAGCATGTGCAAGTTTTCTTATCCTGATTTCTGCAAACAATGCAGTGCAGTGGCTATTTAGAGAATCTGTTGCACTGGGCTTCTCAGGCACTTTCAGAGGTGATACGTGCAGGAGGCCGTGCAGAGGCTCTGGACCCACACTCAGGCCTTCACCCTGCCAGATCTCCACCGGTTATCTGAGGGCCCCATGAAGCCGAGCCAGTATACGCACCCCCTTCTCGCTGACTCTGGCCACAGAGGGGGCAGGAGGGATGAAGGGACTCAGCCCCAGGAAGTGGCCCCGGGTGCAGCATGAACCCAGCCTCTGCCCAAAAGGCCAACATGTTCACAGGAGGCAGCAGCGGATGGAGGGCTGCAGGGAGAGCAGGTGCCCTGGTGTGCCCGGGAGCAGCGCCCACGGGAAGCAGGGGCAGAAGGGGGTGGACTCACTCACCACCCTCCCCCACCCTGGGTGCAGCAGGCAGGACTCAGCCTGCTTTGTATCTCACACCACTGGCGTTCAGAAAACTTCTCTGTGGCTTTGTGTGTGTGTGTGTAAAGACTGATTATTTGAAAGCTAGAGTTACACAGAGAGAAGAGACCCAGATCTTCCATACACTGGTATGTGTCCCTTGTAGCCCAGAAGGGTACAATAGGCAGGGCTGGCTCAGTCTGAAGCCAGGAACCAAGTGCTTCATCCGGGTCTCCCACATGGGTGACAGGGGGCCCAAGCACTTGGGTCATCTTTCACTGCTTTCCCAGGTGCATTAATAAGGAGCTGGATCAGAACTGGAGCAGCTGGGCCAGGCACCAGTGCCTACATGGGATGCCTGTGGGTGGGTGGGATCCTTAGGCTCTTCTGAGACACTCATTTCAGGCTGGCACATGTACATCCTGGAAACATTGCTTTCCATTCCTGAAGCCCTTGGAACCGTGATTCAAGCAACTCAATGAAGACGTTGGGAAAAGACCCCATGTGTCTTATTTTTTTTTTTTTAACCCCCTAAGGAAGAATGAATGAGCCGTGATCTTCCTTCCAACTGCGCTCTCCAGGCCCCTCACAGCAGGGTCCCATGGCAGGCAGGGTAAAGTGGCAAAAGCAGCAAAGCAGGGGGACCAGAGGCAGGTGTGTGTGTGTGTGTGCACATGCGTGTGTATGTATGTGTCAGGAAGGCAGTGTGCTTAAATACTCAGCTCACCTAAAAGGCTCATTTTGCTGCAGAACATTCTGCCAGTCACCGTGTGGGGCCAACCCCAGATCACTCCAGGGCCCCTTGGGAGCTAGGCTGTCCTTGGTGATCATCCCCACCCACAGGCAGAGCCTGCCTGCCTGCCTGCCTGCCTGCGGCCCAGGTCCTCCCTCCATCTGCCTCCTGATCCAGGGCAGCCATTATCCGCCTCCTCTCTGCTGCCAGCAGCCCCTCCCGCAGCCAGTGCTTCCCACTGGACCAGTGGCCACTCCCCTGCCGATGTTGAAAGGTTCCCC